CCTTCCTGACATCACTTGAACTCCATCACAAGGAAAGCTTTTGCTGGGAACAGCAGCGGTGAACCGAGATCTCGAATCGTTGGATGAAGTGAGAATGTTTGCTGTGAGGCGTTTTGAAAACATATCGGGTTTGATAGTAGCTTCACAAGCAACGTGGTAGGATTCCTGCATTTTTGAACCTGAAGTACCTTCCATGATTCCACAGGTGCCACTGGAGTTGTATAATTCTGTTATTGGACGAGAAATTGAGTTGGTCAGGCCATATTGACGTCCACACGGGCAAGTATAAACTGAACGCTCAGAAGGTTTGGATGTAGTTGACTGTTGGGCATCCACATTTTCCACTAAATGCATAGAAGTACCGCTTGTAGATGCAATGCGTATGCGCGGTTGAAAAGAAGAAGACTGTAGAAGGGAGTGGACTTTCCGCAGTTCAGTGCTTTGATTCAGAAGGTTTTCCGCTCTGTGCGTCAAATGTGCTGCCTCAGTTGCCTTTGGAACAGGGATGAAAACGAATTCCTGTTTTCGATTAGCACTTTTAGTTCCAACACCAAAATCCCTTGTAGGGCCATAGGCTGCATTTACGTACTTCACTGGTGGTGCCACAACACTGGCAACATAAACTTCATCTCCAACCTGAATTCCTAGCTCGTCAAGATCCTTCATTTCAATAATCTGAATTCCGGGCGTATCTGTAATTAGTGGAACCATTTCAGTGGCAGTTGAGGCCAGGATTGCACTAACGCTCAAATCTGACGTTCGCCACTCAGTCAGCGGAACATCGACAACCAACTGATCTACAGCAATTTTGTCCATGCACACCTTTGCTGGGACCAACAAAGTGCCCACTTGAGAAGCTGAAGAAACTAGGCGTTTGCTTATTTGGCAAATGGAGGTTTCATGCACCTCTGGAATGTTAGACTCAGAGTTCTCAAAGTATGGCGCACGGAGCCCTTCAAGCTTTAGATTGGTGGGATAGGGAGAAGTATGGTTATTCACACGAGGAATGGAATCATCACTGTTTTCAATTGTATTATTACGAGTAGAAATACAACCATCAAAATTAGCTATCGTGATACCTGGACCCTCGCAAAGTTCAGTGAAAGATTCCAAACGTGTTGTATAAATATTGGATTCGATCTTGCCTCTACTCAAGGTCCTATTCACTCCGAAGTTTCCAGTCTCGCGTCCTATCTTTTGCATACTCTGTTGCTGATGCATGACGATAGCACCTACTTGCGTGGTTGCATCACTGTGAATTGATGGCCTGGTTTGGTCAGGCTTTATGTTCATGTTTTTGGCTGCTTTGATGGGTTCTGCGTTAACACCAATTGATTCTCCCAAGGTCTGTTCATAAGGAATGGCTGACGAGCATATTATGCCACGAATCTCAACTTCTTGGTGTGTTGGTGTTCTAGCATTAGTCAGCACCCTCTCCCCATCACCTAACTTGGAATCACGAACTTCAACCGCATGCGGAACAAGCCTAGGTCCAAGTTGTGCTGAAGTATCTTTGAATTCCACATCAGAGGGATTAGAAGGCATCTTCACTGATCCATTCACAGGAGTAAATGATTGTTCTGATATTCTAAGCAATCCAGGACGGCGGTATGATGGAACTGACATTGTGTCCGACTCTCGTAGACTTAGTCTGGTTTGGACAGACTGAAGTGCTTCGTGAATTCGACTCAAATCTTTGCTCTGCCGTAGCAAATATTCTACGCTTGATGAAGCACTACCAACCATATTTGATGCTGATATAGGAATTACTATCTTTTGCACACCAGGCGCACAAGCAGAGCTTGAATCAGCGATGCTGGCGGATGTTTGGAAGGTTCCTGTGGATCGTTTAAAGGCAGAGGCACTGATTGTCCCTTTATAATTTCCTCCATTCGCATCGATCTCAACCTCATTAACTTTAGACACGGGAACAACGTGAATGCCTGAATCGTTTGTTAGGACTGACGTCAGTTCCGTGGCGGAAGACGCGAGAACTGCGCTTACATTTACTTCAGCGCTTCTGGCGGGACTCAGTGGAACTTCAACTTCGAGATGATTCACTTTCACCTTTTCCATGGTAACTGCTGTTGGTATCAGCAGAGTCCCCACTTGAACAAGCTTAGAGCTCATTGTGCATCCGTCTGAAGAATATGTCATTTGGTTCAGTGAGGCGGTACTTTGAGCGTGCCCGACGTACACGGTCGGCTCTACAAGTGGAGTAAATTTGGGCGGGAATTGTCTTGATGTGGAGAGGGATTCCTCTTTTAATTCAATACACATCTGGTTGGAGCCGGAATCGTGCAATACTTCAGCCGAGAATTGCCCCTGAGCCAAATGGATGGAAAGTTCGGAAATGCCCCTAATCGGAGCTATTTCGATACCAGAGCATTCATTGAGTATGGAGTTGATGCCAATATCTGTAGGGCACAAAACCGTTTCTGTCCTCATAGATCTTGACAGACTTTGAATGCGTTGAAAACCAAGCCTCATCTCCTGCATTTTTAGCTCAGTGGGAATGAAAGTAGCACCAACTTGGGTTGTACCATCAATCTTCAATTTAGACCTATTAATGTCACAAGTACTGACAGTGGTCTGATCGTTAGTGTCCGCAGAAAACTCGGTGTGATGAACACGAATGCGAGCCTGCGGTCTCGCTAAATATGAATTACCAATGTCTGCATTGGTACAGGCGTAGTAGCCCTGTTGACCTACGTCCTTTTGTGATTCAATGGTGGCGTAGTGCGTTTCCTTTTTATGTGCAATATGGATGTCTTCAGCTGATGTGATTGGAAGAACGGTGACGCCCCTCGATTCCGTCAGAATTTCGTCGTACTGGGTTGGTCTTGAGCATAACATTGCACTGACGCTAATTTGCTCTGTATTACCCGCCTCTCCTCTCTCATTTACGACATCAAGATTTTCCATTCGGATTGATTCGACTTTAACAACTTTGGGAATAAGACTTAGGCCGACTTGAACTCCATTTTCATTAGTTTCGACATGGTTATGCATCAAGTTAACTTCTTTTAAATTCATTTTGCCTTGTGTAAAACCACTAACAAGCCTGCGCTCAGCTGAACTTTGCATATCCTTGACCCGCAGCGTAGCCACAAACTCGCTACTTCCCTGCGCCTCAGAATCTGAATCTTCGGCTTTTGAGGACCGTAAGTAATTACTGGAAGTGTTTGAAAAGGTATCGCGTTTTATCCAAACCTTCTTTCCATCAATACTCGATTGGGCGGATTTTATTGCA